CACAGCGCTGGACCAAAATAGACCACATCGCTATCGGTTACCGCTGAAGGGGATTGATTCCTGACTGTCACTCTTACTGATTAACACCTGTGGATACAGACCACGCTTTGTCACGAGCCTGGCAAACAACCGTAAAAAATGCCACCGGCAACGGATACCCGCGATACAACGTCATTGATTGTTGCAAACCAGCCTTAGAGGCGGAGCTCTCCGATCGCCGGTCAGTCCAACGACTAGCCGAAGGACTCAATGTATACTGGAAGCAGATCAAGGAAGCTGTGCAAATATCAATAAAAACAACATCAGACCCTCACGCATGCTCAAAACATAAACGATGGATATCATCAACCTCGGCTACCCTGCTGAACGCGCGCAGAACCCTTCCCCCCGATACCGCATATGACACAGCGCGCAAATCCTTCAAACGCCAGCCCACCATGAGCCTGAGGAATAATCGCGAGAAGAGGTGGATAGGAAAGTGTGGAAAGATGGAGAAGGCTGCGGCTAACGGTAATAGTCGANTTTTCGTCGAATTCATCATCATCATCGTACAGCGAAATACAGTGAAGCGAACTTCGCTGATCGCTGTCAAACTCGCAATGCACACAAGGTTAGTGGTAAAATTTAAGGTGGAAACGGATTGGATCTATTTTGAAGGAGGGGGAAGAAAGTGAACTTCTATGGCCAACACAGTGCACAATCGAACTCTGCATACATACCGTTTCAAACATTCTGACCTGATAAGAAACGACAATAAGAACGCCACTGCTGTAGGTTCGCTGCCATATCCTTCAATGTCTCCAACCAACCAGTTGGTGAGTCTTTTGGACCCCAACCTGGAAGGCGAGAGACACCTACTCTACCTAATGGCTCTTTGCATTTCTTCATGCCTCGACTCCACGTCATCTGTTGACCTCCACGTGGTTTCCTCCAGCCCGGATTAGCCACAGCGAATTAAGCGCGGTGCGGCAGACGATGGTTGGGCATACGCAACACGTGCCTTAGCCAGGGAAGTCTACTAATCTGAATTCGATGTGCTAGCAAGTGTATACCTGATAGATTCCCAAATACACGACGGCTTACCCCACGTTACTAACCCGTTCGCTCCATCCAACATGGGCTAAACTGCGTAAACACCAATAATCGAAAACTTCTAGTCGACGGATATTTTCTACTCGCAAATTCAGGGTCTCACAACCATAAAGCAGGACTGAACGAACGCTAGCACAATATACACGACCTTTCAACTTCAGTGAAGCGTCGCGTCTACGCCAAAGGTGTTTCAGTCCACGTATGCTGCTCGAGCCTTGGAAATGCGGACGGTTATCTCCTTTGCTGCACTACCGTCATTGGTCACGCAACTACCTAAGTAGGAAAAGTAATCCACCATAACTAAATCCTGACCATTTGTTCTAAGAGCGGGAGTAGACGAAACCCAGTCCTGCAGCAGCACTTGGCACTTTGAAGGTGCAAAGCACACACCGAATGTGGCCCCTGCACTTGTTAATCTATCGAGTGCGCTTTGCGCGTCCTCCATACATTCGAACAGACAGACGATATCATCAGCGTACTCCAAATCGCATAGCATTTCTCCAGCTGTCCATTCAATGCCTACGTTTTGGAGTCCCCTTAGTGCGCTCTCCAGCATTTCATTGACGACGAAATTGAACAGGAACGGCGAAAGAGAGCACCCTTGACGAACGCCACTGCTGGTGACAAACAGCCTACTTAGTTCGTTGTAGACCCTTATGAGACCGGAGGTCTGTGTGTGCAGTGACCTCAGTAGATTAAATTAATTCAGGGGAATTCCTTTTCGAAGGGAGCCCATCAGAGCTTCGCGGTCAACTGAGTCGAAGGGTCCTTTCAGGTCAAGGAACACTGCGATCGTTGGCCGACGGTGAGTATGACGCAGCTCAAGGATCTGACGCAACGTAAAAATCTGATCTACGGCCAGGCCGGAATCCGGCTTACTGTTCTCGGATGTTGGTCTCTCTTAAAGGCGTCAGACGTCGAAGTATAACCGAAGCTAGCACTTTGGTGACGATCGGGATCAAACTTATCCCGCGGNTGAAGGATCTGACGCAACGTAAAATTCTGATCAATACATCCACGGCCAGGCCACAATCCGGCTTGCTGTTTACGGATTTTCGTCTCTCTTAAAGGCGTCAGACGTCGAAGTATAACCGAAGCTAGCACTTTGGTGACGATCGGGATCAAACTTATCCCGCGGTGGTTTTCGCAATCATCGCGGGATCTTTTCTTGAAAATGGGAACGATCAGTGATTCGCCCCAAGATGAAGGAATGTGCTCTTGCGTCCAAATATTGCGCAGTAGCGTAGTAATAGAGGTTACGAGGTTATCCCACACACACCCCATCTTGAGAAGCGTGGGTGGGAGCTCATCCGGTCCTGCTGCCTTTACTCGCTTCAGAGCTTGAATGCAAGACCGAACTTCTGCTCCCGTTGGAGGATCGCATGACACTACCCATGGAGCTTCAGTTGCAGATGAAGCAGCCTGGATAGGCACTAGGCCAGCTGAACTGTACGCTGAAGTATTCTGCCCAGCGATCAAGTCGTTGAGCCTTATTGTGCATAGCTCGTGCTCTCTTATCGCAGACTGTGTCACTAAGGTTCGCCGAGCTCCCGTATTGCGTATCAGTCGGAACAGTCCTTAACTATTCCCCAATTTTAGCCGTTTTTTCCATTTCACTAGCTATTGTTGTCCACCAGTTTTCACGGTCCTTCTTGAGGCTCTTCGTGAGCCGACGTTGTAGCTGCCGCTCTATTTTAATCCTGGCAGGTCGGGATTCGTTGTTTTTTCTCTATTACAGCTACTGATTCCTGAGATATCCAATGCCTCCGGCGGGTTTGAGGCTCAGACCCACAAGCAACATTCGCTGCGGAATGCATTGCTCGCCTAATCTGATCCCACTGCTCATCTACATCGTCAGACTGAGGCGCGCTTAGCCCACGTACTAGCTGATTCATTGCGCACACGAACTGCTGGAACATTTAGTCGTTGATGAGCTATCAGAGTTTGCTGAATTCGTCGCCGGCCAGTCAGTGGGAGAGTGAACGGAAAGTGCTCGTCAGGGTTGCCCTCTTTCTCCTTTTCTATTCAACTTTGTCATAGATTTGTTTATGGAAACAGCCCTATCCTCGTGCGAGGATAGTGGCATCGATTTACTCCCAGGAGGCAGGCTGTCTGATCTAGAGTACACAGACGACATTGTGCTACTAAGTGAAGATCCAGGTAAGTTGCAAGCATTTCTGGATAACTTGAATGCCAGTGTAGCCATATTCGGTATGCGTTTTGCACCTTCAAAGTGTAAAATGTTACTACAAGACTGGGTTGGTCCAGCACCCAACCAACTTTTTCCAACAGCAATGTCATATGATGGTATACCGATCGGAACACTTCTCCCTGCATTAGACAAATACACAAAATATGACCGAGGCCTCGGAGGTGATGATAATGATTTTTCTATTTTCACGTACGCATGGGTTCAGACTGTGAGTCAAACAAATCGTGGCACAATAATCTTGATAAAAAAGAAAGAAGATTCATGATCTGCTCGAGGGCACGATACTGCTAGGTTGCTCAGGCCAGAGCAGGTGAATTTCTTAGGGACTGCATAATCGGAGCCTTCAGCTAAACAAAACCTGACCCGCAAGGCAGCGGGGGGGGGGTCGGTGTCGAGTTGATCGGATCATACGCCTTTTGGACGGGGTCAAACGTACGAGGTGCCCAATACACTTCGATGCCCAATCGGGCCGATGAACGCCACCAAAACCAGGAAGGTGTGAGCGAGTTTTGCTCGTACATCTTTTCTTGGTTAGTTTGGAATCAGAGTTTTTAGCCAGAGATTCACAGACCCGGTTATAGCCCCGGATATTTGTTTTTCGTCCTCTCACTGTGCCACGAGAAGACAGTAAGTAGGGCTTCCTTTGCAGACAGTGTTGGGAACGCTTGCTAGTATGGGAAGATTTGGTGAGGTTCAAGAGAGGTGTGATCAGCCGGAACCTGAGACATCGACCTTTGACCATGCTGTTGCTTTAGGAGACCAGAGCATGACTAATAGCTGTTTCACTGTTCAGTATCACTCACAATAAATAACCCAATAACACAAAGCACAGTACCGACGTGGGCCATAATGCGTATCCAACACAAGTCTACACAACACAATAGAAGTGGCGCTCAGAAAGATGATTATCGAGAACACAGGTTGGACGCCGAGAGAGAGAGGGACTACATACAGATATGAGGTAGGCACGAACAGTATAGAGCACGTAGCTGAGTTGCTATAGAAGTCGTCTAGCCTCAAGAGTACGATCACAGCACATAATGCACGCCACGCACCAGTAGCCTTCTCTCAGCTACCAAATAGACCATAGGCGGCAAGCAACAAACGTGTACTTGACACACAACAATCGAATCGGATTTACAACATCAAGCCATCAACCCATACACTATCCCAATGTCTGCATAAAGAGACTTTGAGAATTGATGCAGAAAATGAGAAAATTTACAAGGTTAACCAATCAGTATCTAGAAGCTGAGGATGAACGAAGAGGGTTGAAATGAAGCGAAACAAAAGATTTAACTTATAAAAATTTGAAACTGCTCGAAAATGTTTTGTTGACCTAAAACAATTTTAAGTGGAGAAAACGTTTTCGCTTAACATCAGCACTGAACACATGACAAGGAACCTCGTCTTTGCTCATCCGATCTTCCCACAAGACATGAGCAATGCTTCGCAGATATTGGTGGTTGAATAAAACTGCCAACAGTAGCAAGGGTATTGTTTGTGTACCACTATAGTCTATAGAGTATAGCAGAAGATAGTCGCGGAAGACTGAGAAATAAATATACACAGAAAGTGTGAAGGACAACTGATTTACACAAACAAATCGGCAGCGTTTGGCACGACATTTATATACATTCCTCTTGTTACAGTTTCCATTTTGAATTTTTTTTTATGAAAAATATCGAAATGAAGGTCACTTACCACAAACGGCTTCACGCCATCCACCGCCTAGACGAACGACTGAACAAGAAAGTTGGCGTCCGGCAAACCAACGGCCCTGACACGCCTCTGCAGCATCCCAGGCTGCACCGGGTCCTCGTGCAAATTCCACATAGACGGATCCGCGTAAATGAGCAGTCTGATTACGACACGTACGCAAGGTGACAATTCGTCCCCAACGGGCCTCAAGTTCCTCGTGCACATCCTGGTAAAATTCAGCAAAATCGGCCAACAGCTGAGCCTCGTCGACATCTAAGGCAGCGTCTGCACAAATTTGTATGCGGGGCCAGCGAAGGGAGGGAGAGAACGAGAGAAAAAACCGCAAACCAAAAAATCTCATGTTTTATTGGTTTCTTGATCTCAGATGAAACTGTTAGCTCAAACTGCTTTTACTGACGCGCAACTCAGGAGTGTGCGAGACGTGCATTATTATTCCTGAAACATTCATGTGCAACGTGATTAGAATCATCATAATTTGTTCCACGGTTGGTCACCTGCGTTTGTAAGAATAGTGTTTAACTCCTAACCCACTTATGCTTCAGATGC